AAACTTATGACTGTGACATACAGAAACTTACAATGTCAACATTTATTCTGTTGATTGGGCTGGGTTACCTCTCATCCCCCTCATCCTGCAACTCCACCTCCCTCCAAAGGCCTACTCCCCCCTCCTCCATTACGTCCTCATTACGTCTAGGATAGATGTAGGCGTTGGCAAGGTAACATTAGATACACGGAAGAAGAGAGCCAGTGTAACACACCAAGAGAAACGCAGCCCCGGAGTTTTGAAACTTAGGTCAGTGATGACTGATGAGTTTTATAATATAACGTAAATGCTAACGTTTGATAGTACTGGTGATTGGCAACAAACAAGGAAGATAATACAGAGGCTCAGGCAATGTTAGGCTACAGTAGGCTAACCGTTAGCAACTAGATGCTGTGTTGTCATATATAACATTATAGCCTATGTTACATTAGAGGCAAAGCGAGCTGTTATGTCAGTCGGAGGCCTCCACGCGGGGAAGACAGACAGGATGCTCGGTCCGAATGCAATGATTGGTCAGAATTTTCTTAGAACCATATGAGAATGGTCTAATTATGTTTTTTTTATCACTTAAAATTTAGTGTGCCATCAGCTTATTAATAGCATTTTAACCTAAACAAAGAAAAGCGTAAAATTTCCAGAAAGGTCAGTGTCGCTTTAACTTGTATTTCAACATCTGACACTGACTCAGTGAATTAACTTTACATTTTATGTTTGTATGTGAGGTCTTTGTGTAACTGCCTTTTAGCAAATCTAGAAATTGAAAAAAATGAGAAAAAAAATGAAACTGTTGAAATTTGATGACATTAGTTCTGATCATGTTGGATCAATGAAACCAACTGGCTTTGTTGTCTAGGTGATCTTGATCTGGTCTCTGATGGACCTTCAGCCACCCAACTATGGAAAAATTCAGTACCCAGTGTGGGGTCTGGCTCTGGGCTGGTGCATGACGGCATTTGTCCTCCTCTGGGTCCCTGTCATCGCTCTGAATAAGCTGATGAGAGCAGTGGGAAGTCCCTGGAAGGTGTGTATGTGTGTTATGATAGCTGAAACAAAATAGGGTTCAAAACACTTGAGTTTTTCTCTACATTTTTAAAGTATTGCATTGCGTACATTTTCCATGAATTTAAAGACATGAAAAAGAAACAGTGCAAATCTTTTTCTTTCCATAGCGCCTAAAGTCACTGTGCGCTCCAGCTGAAGAATGGCATCCCTACCTGGACATTCATCGAGGAGAACGCTACTCACAAGAACGCTGCCGCCTCAGGATGAGCCATAAAAACAAAGTAGAAGGAAATGTAAATGTAATCTCAAGCTCATGGCTCTGATGTGTGTTTTGTGTGTTTAACTATTGATTTCTTCACTTTGGTGAAGCAGTGTAATCTGTGAACACATTGTACTAATAGATAAAGATGCATTACGTGAAAATACTTGCCTAATAGTTCAGCAGAAAAAGAGTAACGTGGACATCTTATTGCAGGCTGTGTAAATGTCTAAGCTATAATGTCAAGGCTGATATTCCCTTTTGTTTTAGCTGTGATTTGGTCTGGAAAAAATACCTGAGTGTCTTTGATTCTTTTCATCAGACACACTTTCATCTGCTGTCCACCATTCCCTGCTGGTACAGGCAATATGCACCAAGCTTGTGTGAGGTCTTGTGTTATACAGTAAAATGGAGCAGAGCCATTTAGGACTCTACCACACAGACCAATGACCAGAAACAATGTATGAAAAGCAGCTGAAAGCTACTGAGAACAATATTAGAAATGCTCTCTTGTTTCTTGACTGTTTCTGTGTCAGTAATCATGCTTATCTTTCTATGTCAAGTTCAGTTCCCTGTCACTTAACCACATCGTTTGTATGATATTCTACAATAAATAAGTTCTTCGTCCATCTCTGATGTCAAGCTACTTTAAATGCCATATCTACATAGATCAGATATTGCTTAATGTGTTAAAGCCGACCTCACATCAGATACAGTGACAGGGTCCTGTATAACAACGGAACCAATATGAGGTTCTGCCCTGAACTTTTTTAAAGGACAAGACATTCAGAGCATTAATATAGCAGCAAAAGTATGCTCCTTCTGTACTGTATGTTGAATGCAATCTGAGCTTCTCTGTCTGATGCTGTGGTAGAGATGCTCACATGCACATGCATTTTAGTGCATGTGAGTCCATATCTGAGTGTGGTCGACTATTACACTGGGATGGTGTCGTCATTGAAACGTGGCGCCCACCCATCTGTTGTCCCCCAGGTTAACAGTGTTAGCTCTCTCAGCAATCTAACCGTTTTCAGCTGCTAGCTGCCGGCTCAGCCACCTCCATGTTGACAACCTGGATATATAAAGAAAACTGGACACAGTGTTAGAAACAGGACCATGTTCATTTCAATGAAAGCTACTGAGTGGCGCATGATGCCACGTATAAAATTACCTGGATTATTGGCACTGCTTCCATCAGTGGAGGCGGCTACCTGCAGTTTAGTTCTCCGCTAACTTGAATGGGGATAAAAAGATTCAGTCATGCGGCTCTTCTAGACTTTCCAAATGTTATTGGACCAGATGGATCCAATCCTGATAGTGAAACAAGTTTTTTTGGGATTGTGACGCTCAAAAAATGTATCCACTGATTCACAGATGTCTCTTTCCTCATGTAAGTCATTGAAAACAGTCTCTTTGGGCTACACTGCATCATGCTATGGTATATTTACATTGTCTGGCCACTATGAAAATTGGATTCAAAGCCTGGAGCACCACCTGAGAGCCTGGTTGTGGATTGTTTGCAGACTACCCTGCCCCAGACTCTGAATTATGGATATGCTCTGAATGTTACATACAGCTGACTTTAAGCTCATCTCATTTTTTAGATGAGCACTGCATATATTGTTAAGTCCTTGTGTTAGCAGTTGTTGTTGCTTTTCTCTCTTTTCTTGACAGTACCACTGGAGGGCATCAAAGGTTAGAAATATTACTGGAGCCCAAAACTACACACATTTGCTAATTTATCAGGTACACTTAGCTAACATTAACTCAGTCTAATATAAGAGTGAGAAGGGTGTAAAGTTCAGTTTGATGTTGAAAACCTTTTAAAGGTGTTGATTCAGTTGTATGATCATTTTGGAAGATGTAGTTTGTTGTGCTGCTGAGGTGGAGTTGTATTAGGTTACACTGAGAAGAGTTTCTAATGTTTGTACACTGTGTTTATATCACTGAGACCAGACTGGTATTTAGTCTGCTACTTTAATATAAAGCATCAGCCACTGCAGCATCAAGATTATTCACTTCTGCAGGAGGAGTAGTCTTTAAACCAGATAAACCATCAATTTCAGGGGCATGTGTGTGTGTGTAGGCGTGCGTGCCTGTGTGTGAGAGAGAGAAACATCCAGTATCTACTGATGTGACAGTTCATATTTGCAAAAGAATTTCTCATATTGTGTGAACAGTGAAACAGTATTTGATTAAGCCTGAGGGCTCATATCACATATTACAGTAGCTGGTAAGGTAACAACTGTGCCTGTGTGCATGTTGCATGAAATTGACTGTGGCCATAATAAGAGCTGTAGTCAGTGCTGTAATTAGTTGATTAATGTCCTGTGCAGGAGCTTAACATCTGTGTGTGTGTCACGGGTTATGTATCTGTCATGTTTGCAGTCATATTCTCTCTCTGTTATTATTGTATGTTTTCAGTGATGATGCAGCTGTGTGACATCATTGAACAAACTGAGCACATGTCTCCTTTTAACCAGACAAGCTCACAGCTTATTATAAGTCACTGCAGCGGTATTTAGAGAAAATATACAGTCATACATACATGCAGCCACACACCACAAGAGCTTCACTGGTGTGTTCATTTATGTATTCTTTTATTTTATTTTATCTAGTTTTTAATAATACCATTTTGATTGCATTTTTGATTAAGCGTGTTAATCAAATAAAGCCTGGAATTAGGAAGCTTGTCTCCACTCTTGTTTTGTTTTATAAAGTTCTGGTGTTAGATGTCGGGTTGTTGTGAGAAGTGGAAAAACAGGCAAAGCTTACTTTAACTGAAAGTTCATGTAGAAAATTATGTTCTTTTTTTCATATGACCTTCCCAACCCCATCACCAGAGTTAATGCTGACATTGTATATTCCTGCAAACAACAAATACTTTAAACTGTGTAGCAGATATGCTGACACTTAACATTTCTTTCTCTTTTAACAATGCTGTGGTTAATGTGTGGTGAGGTTTAGGCAAAAAACAAACAAACAAACAAAAAAAAAACACTTGAATTTGGTTGGGAACAAATCATGTGTTGGCTCAAAATATCCACTTTTGTTGGCACTATTCCAGCAGGAAACATCGCACTGTTTCTATGAAATACAATTTTTTTTTCTGGCAGTATCCCCGGTGGAAACACAATGACGAGTAGCCAAAAAAACACCCACATTTGTTTGGCTATTAACCAGCTGGATTTGCAGAGATGACTCACTAAAACAAAACAACCCAACATTTTTGTTGTTTGTTGGTCTTAAACAGTGGTCCACAGATTGGCAGGCGCCTCAACTTGGTTACACACCATCCGCCATCCACTTCATCTCCCAATAACTTAGTCAGCTCATAAACATATAATCTGGACCACTACTTTCACTTTAGAAATGTTAATATAATACGTACAAAATGCACAAATGTAATGTATGTGTGGTTTGCAGAAATGTACAATGTCAAGATTTTCTTCTGACGGCTCGGCTGACTACCCTCACATGGCACTAAATAAAACACAAGCATTTATTTCTTGAAAACATTCACTGTGTTTCAGTTATACATCTTTTTTATTTATGTATTTGTTGAGGTACAATACTTGCCAATGGTTTAGAGTGGTGGTGACTGTGGCTTTTGTTCTGCCTATTGTTGTTTATTGTTACTGTACAATGCAGCCAAGCTCACAGAGTCATTAAACGCTGAGTCGGGCCTATTTAGCAGTTTATCAAAAGCCTCACAAGTCAGTGATAATTGATATTCTGAACACATTTTACAGTGTAGACAATTTCACCTCCAGATGAAAAACCTGTCTGTCTGACAGCGATCATTGGTTGCTGTGACTCATGGTAGGGTAGGGTTTCTTTTTTTTCTTCTTTTTTTTAGTTTTGGATTTGAATTTGAATTTTCTTCTCCAAACCATTTGAAGCAGTCAAGAAATGTGGAAACATGGCTCTAATCTTTGTAAGAATCCTGCTCCTGATCAGGTAGGACAACTGAATAACTAACTGTATAGCCTTCTTATATATAGGCTGTGAATTTTGTCTGTATTTTTTTTTTTTTACAAAGTTAAAAATGAACCTCAGCACATTACTAAAAATAGTCATTCATTACATCGTTGACAGAAGTGATAGCTTAATATTAGTAGATCAGTGTTCTGCACTATGATCTCTGGCCCATATATCATACCACAGACACGTAAACAGACACGTTTGCCTTTGAGGACTGGATTTATCTTTTCAAACATTTTCTGAATCCACCCAGCCCCCTGTTAAACATGATGACTGACATTAGTGACAGCTGGTGACAGGTAGCCTATCATTCAAAGGGTCATAAATTCCCCTGTAATTACACAGAGCTGTGAAAGCCATTTTGATGCACAACCACAATCAGACAAAGCTAATGTAAAAGATTCTCAATACTTAAAGTATCCAATGATGTGTTTCATTCACCACTATGTGTTTGTGTCTCGATGACTTACAGTGATGTTGTAATGTATGTATAATCCTGTATCAATTGATATTTGTATAATTCCTATAGATTCTCTTCATAGCAGACATTTTGATGGAACTGAACCTTTGTTAGTGTTAATAGCAATTATTATATGTGGGGTTTTCGGATTTATTATTGGGTTAACTCATACTATAGATGTTTTTCAAACTGTGCTTTGAGCAGAGCTCTCTGGTGGATGATGGCGATGAGAACCCTGAGCGTGGAAACTGGACCAACAAGACAGAGTACATGCTGTCTATGATAGGCTTTGCTATTGGCCTGGGAAATATATGGAGATTTCCATACTTAGCCTACAAGAATGGCGGCGGTAATTATTTGCCATCAGTGTTTAGAGAATCAATTACGATTAACGTGTTGTGACTAATGTGACCATCACGAAAACTTGCTTTTATCCCTGTGAGCAGGTGCCTTTCTCATTCCCTATTTCCTGATGCTGGTTTTGTGTGGAATTCCTCTTTTCTTCCTGGAAAGTGCCATCGGCCAGTTTTGCAGCCAAGGTCCAGTCAACATGTGGAGAGCAGCTCCTTTACTGCAGGGTAAAGCCTGAGAGATCAGTGGGATACTTTTAAAGGCTGTGATGCTTAAAACCAGGATATGAAATGTGACTGATGTTTGGTCCTGCTCAACTATTAGTGTGAGAGATATTCCTATAACTTAATTGAGTTATTGTTAAAAGCACTGCAACTGTCAGTGGTTTCTTTATTGTTGATCAATGTATTGATTAATTTTCAAAACAAACTGATTGACTCTTTAGTTCATAAAGTGACAGAAAGAGGGGTAAGACTTCCATGGCTAGTTATTGCAGCAGACACTCACATATGAGAACCTGGAACCATAACGCTTGGTAGTTTTGGTAACTTCAACTAACATTTCAGTATTTAATCTAAGTCAATAGTGTTTGTCACTATATTAGTAAAGGATAGCCTATGGTAATATTTTAATAATGGCTTCAGGATCTTCCTCTGCTCAACAGAAAAGACAAAGGAAAGAAAATGGCAGTTGTGGTTTGAAAGTTTAGTTGAGTCATGTTTTAGTAAAACAGTTTGCCAAATAACTCATCACAAGGTTCTTATGGTCATGAAATATTGGAAAAGTCATGAAATTTGAGAATAGCAGTTTCCAGGCCTGGAGAAGTCATGGACATTTGCCTCACAAATACCTGTACAACAGAGTATATGGTTCAGTTAACATCAATTGAAAAAAAAAATTGTATTGGTTATGCAAATTGTTTGGGCAGATCAGTCATATGATTTGATGTTATGTGTTCTCCGCGTGGGTAACGTCAGACTCTGCACTGAGGTGCAGCTTTTACTTTGACAGGGTGTGTAAATATGCACCATGCCAGGAAAATAGCATGTAATAATATCCAGTTCATATGGTATAAGGTATGACTTGAGAAAGTCTAGGACCTGGGCCATGCTAAATATGGACTGTGTAGTAAAATGTTTGACATTTTAAAAATGGGAGAGGCAGTGCTAGCAAGCCAAACAAAAACACCTTATGTCAAGCATCAGGCTACTATTGCTGCACACAAGTCAACTCCCATAACTGGCTTTTTCACCCCAGTGACCAACGTGACTGACACCCACTGCCAGCAGCAGTACTTACCTCTCGTCCACCATCAAACAAGGGACCCTTTGGGGTGCTGTGTCCAGAAACAACACCGTAACTGCAGAGATACTATGGGCGCTAAAACCAAAATATACCAAGCACTGGCAAAGTACGATATTTCACTGTGGCTGGGTGGTGTGGCAGTTTTCCACAGGCATTTCAGTTTGTCGTAGGCCGCACTTTGATGCTGCTGTATATTTATGTATAAGAACCCTGTCATTATAAGTGCATTATCACACATTATCTTCCCCAGGTGTCGGTCTTTCCATGGTTAGTGTGAACACAATGGGGTCGATTTATTATAACGTCATCGTCGCCTACAGCCTGTACTACATGTTCGCCTCCTTCCAGTCTCCTCTGCCGTGGTCCAACTGCCTCAGACACATTGACAGTAACTGCAGCGCCACACCTATAGGTGCTTTTTTACTCAAAAATTATTTCAATGAGCTGTGGATCAATCTGCTGTTTGGTGGATATGGATCTGTCTCTCTTGACCATAAGCTACACTCACAGACCTATGTGGGCTAATGCAAACACTGGTTCTTGGGATTTAATACATGGATACATCCATCACATGGACTGATATTTTAACCAAGTCATTCACTGGTCCTCTCTCCTTTAAAGTGTACTGCAATGTAAGTGGTGTTTTAGTGCCCAGCTGGACTGAAAACAGCACTTGTCCTTCATCCAACATGATCACAGTGCCAGTGCAGAGCCCGAGTGAGCAGTACTGGGAGTAAGAATCACACACACATGCAAACAAGCACAAATACACACACTTGTCGTACTGCTGTGGCTGTACAGACAGATTTCGCTCTTCCTCAGTCATGTGGCTCTGCAGAGATCCAGTGGTCTACATGAAACAGGACCAGTAGTTTGGCACTTGGCCCTCTGTCTGCTGCTGAGCTCCATTCTTGTTGCTGCAGCGCTCATCAAAGGCATCAAGTCATCAGGCAAAGTAAGACAACATCCACCTCATAGCAAGTCCTTGTCCACAGTTTGTAAAAATGGCTTTTCTTCCTCCAGTATACATGCCATGGTTTATACATTCATTTTGTTAAGGAATGGTAATATGGTGCACCCATATTCATCGGCAGTTGCACTGTGTGGTCAGTTCACATCCTCAGTGTATGAATTCAATGTTTTTGTCTCCTCAGGTTGTGTATTTCACAGCAACTTTTCCTTATGTGGTGATTCTGATCCTGCTGATCAGAGGGGTGACACTAGAGGGAGCCAGAGATGGAATAGAGTTCTTCATTGGTTCCCAATCCAATCTGACTAAACTGACTGAGATAGAGGTAGGGACCCAACTTTCCATGTTTAACTGCTTAAGGGGGAACACCACCTAAAATTAACAATTCCAATATGTCTTCCCCTTGGAAAAAGAATGTTCAATCAATATTTGTGAACATGAGCAACTCCCTGTCAAAGCCAGAAACCAGAGAAGTGAGTCTCAGACTTGTGATGTCATCAAGTACAAAGTCTGGAGCTGCTCCATAGACAATGAAGGGGAGACTGATTTTGTGGACCCACAGAATGTTTTTCTGTTAGGATTATAATTAATAATTATTTAATAATAAAGAGCATGAATGGTTGTTTGTCTCTATGTGTAAGCCCTGTGATAGTCTGGCGACCTGTCCAGGGTGTACCTCGCTTCTCGCCCGCTTGCATAGGCTCCAGCCCCCCGTGACCCCTAATAGGATAAGCGACTATGGAAAATGAATGAATAACATGTTTTGAATTTTCATCGACTAAAAAAAAAGGCTAGACTAAAAATATAAAGGCTAAAAAAGGCTAAAATGTGAGTAAAACGGATAAGCATTTTCATCTCAAGACTTATACAAAATCTGAGATAGTTGTTAAAATTAACACTGATTCAAAGTGACAATGTCCTCACGTGTCGAAATGCCCCACACGTTTGCTCAAGAGGGGACGACCCAGTCCTTGTGGGGCAGGTGCTGTCGGGACTAAAACAGGTGTTAAACAAGAGGGAGCAAAAAGTACAACTGAGGGATCTAAGCTGTCTTAGGAGTTCTCGTGGTGCCGGGCCCGTACCAGAATAAGCTTTATTCTATGGTTGTGTTCTCAGTTGTGACACAGAAAATGTAGATACCCAGAACATTGCCCTGGGTGCTCCCAGTGTCGTCTATAACATCTTCCCTTTCATTGTCAGTGGAGCAGCTCCAGACTTCATGCTTAATGGCATCACAAATTTCAGTTTTAGCTCTCTAGTTTTTTGAATTGGGAGAATTCATGTTGTATGTCTTAGACCATAGGAATAACATATGAATTTTGATGAAATTGGCACATTAAGGAGCTGAATGCTACATTCAGAAAATGAATATAGCAGCAAACAGCTATTTGTTATGTAAAGATGTAGTGGAGTAATGGCATCCTGAGCAGAGAATGAAGTCACACTCCTACTCTGTGTGTTTCCTACTCTGTTTGTTGTTGTTGTGGTAGATGATCCCACTGCATATATTAGTGCATTTGAGTCCCTGTGAATGTGTCACACTGGCAAGTGAATTGCCCCTGTTCTGTTCTGTTCTGCACTCATAAAGGTTTTACTACTGATTTCAGGTCAGTGACAATTAACAATTCGGAGGTTGATAGAAATGTCATTGGTTTTGCAGGCGTTTTGTCATAAAACAAAGTATTGGAAAAATTAACACGCTGAACCAATAATGGTGCCAGATATAAAGTTAAGGGGTCGCAATTTTCAAACTTCATTCCAAGTGGGACATGAGTTTACTATATTTAATTGCAATCCCTCCGACAGTTCACAAATCACAAATCACAAATGTGAATTTGATTTTTCTGCTAGAGTAAAAGTACGGGCATCACCAAAGTCAGAGGGATTCATCATCTGGGAACCATGACTGTGTGTCTGTACAAATTTCATGGCAACAACCTAAATTCATGCCACCAGCATTGCTAAAAAGATTAGCATTAGTTTGCAAAATATGTCTCATATCACTCTTTGAAGACATGTTGGTATGTTTTAGGTCTGGAGGGATGCAGCAGCTCAGAATTTGTATTCCCTCGCCATTGCTTCGGGTGGAACTGTGGCTCTTGCTTCATATAGCAATTTCCACAACAACATGTTCCTGGACACAGTTATTGTAACCCTCTTTAATCATGGTAGGAAAACAGTATTTCAGTTGAAGCACTATTTGATGTCACATTTCTGTATTTAAAAATGTTTAACTACTGAGAGAAAAAAGAAAATCATCATCAGAGCTAAAGATATAACAATATGATGCTGTAAGTACAAGGTATCTAATTTAGGTTATTGAAGCCACTATGTATAGATGTTGGAAATTTCTGACTTAACTGTTTTCATCTCCTCCTAGGTACCAGTGTGTTTGCAGGCTTTGCCATCTTTTCAATTTTAGGTCATATGGCTCACATCTATGGAAAGCCTATCGGGGTAGTGGTGAAGGAAGGTCAGTCATCTATAACATTACCTACTCTCCCCCACCAAAAAAGAGAAAAAAAGCTCCCATATATTCTCTGACACTTTGTTTCTCCATCTTTGCGCAGGTTTTGGCCTGGCATTCATCGCGTATCCAGACGCTTTGACTAAGCTTCCTATTTCCCCCTTCTGGTCCGCTCTGTTCTTTTTCATGCTTTTTCTTGTTGGCCTGGACTCTCAGTTTACACTTTTAGGTGAGATTGTCATTTCATAACACTAACTTACATACATATAGATATCAACCTAACATCAACAAGTTGTTCAGTTGGCTCAATGATTCTCATCTTTGTTCTTGTCCTTCAGAGGTGACCACCACCTGCCTGTCTGATGCCTTCCCTGAATTCTTCAAATCCAGACGTGCCTTACTGACAATAGGAACATGTGTCATTATCTTCTTCTTGGGCCTACCATGTGTTACAAGGGTACAGCTGATCTAATGACAGTTACCCAGTGACCGTATCACAACTGTCTGATATTATTACCCTGCTTACTGACAGTGTTTCTTTTTCTGTGTGTGTGTGTGTGTGTGTGTGTGTGTGTGTATACGCATCTGGGATAGGCAGGAATATACTGGGTGACTCTAATAGACAACTTCACTACCGGTTGGGTGATGCTAATTTTGGCTGTCATGGAGATCATTGGCTTCTGCTACATATATGGTAAATATAACTGAAAACTATATGATGATTTGATGATTTGACATTTGATGAACCAAACATAAATTGTTTCACTGGCTTGGCTGTATTTACATTTCTACATTTCTTAAATCGACTACACCTATATTATATATTTTCTTGAGATGTATACATACATTATTCCAAATGTTTCCAATAATGTTAAAACCCAGAGACATCTTTAATTTGATTCAATTCATTTGATTACCTGTCAGTGGCATCATATCCCCTCTACTCTGCTTCCTAGGATAGCAAAGGCTTGACCTGCCCTACTCTGCCTCACTCTGCCCCGGAATGGCTTACCCTGATATTTTTACCCTAACCAGTCCCAATCCTCTTGCCCAAACCTAACCAACCCAATCAAAAAAAGGCAACAAATATAGCCAATCACAGGGAGAGTATAGTGGGTCATGCCTTAGCAATCCGAGGAAACACAAATTCACCCCTCTTGTTGCTTTAACCTCAAGGAAACAGTGTCAAAGAGTTGACTCAATAACAGTAATACAGCATTTTATTTCCTGCCTCATGACAGTTTTCCTATTTTTGCATGCCATTTTGCAACACAGTAATCCAGCAGAGAACTCATTTATTACTTTGATGTGCGGCTCATGCGTACATGTACGTGTGTGTACAGAATGTGTACTGTAATGTTTCAACTTTTCAACTCGCCCATAAAGTTACTTTCAGTATGAATAAAACTTGAGTACATTATAAATCTGAACGTGATTTCTGTCTGAGTCACAATAGATAGATTTTCATCTGCAATTGTGATTATTTGACTATGAAGACAACAACTCCCATGATCCCACGCTACTTCACAACATCATCAATGTTTGTCTTTTGTTACTGTTTTTGTCAACTATGTTTGTCATCCAAATTAGCTAAATTTTGTTGAATTAAAGGATAAGGCTGTGGATATACAAATCCAATGAAAAGACCAAAACCAGCAATGAATTAGTCAGTTTCTACATACTTTAAGACTTTCCTATCCTCTCTGTGGCACTCACGTTACACCTATTCATTCCTAGTGAAGAGTTGAAACAGGTGATAGATATATAGTTTCATTTTTAAACTTGACTATGTGAGGCCCAGCAGTACCAAAGAGCATGGATACCAAGAGGCGAAGCTCCGTTGATTTTTTGCCAACAGCCACTAGGGGCGCTGCCGCCATTTTGGACTGTTGAGCTTGGACTGCTGCGCTCCTTGACATGCAAGATGTCAAGGAGAGAGGAGGAAAAAAGTAAAAGAAAACAATGTAGTGCAATTAACTGATTAATTAACTAATATCAATTTAATATGCCAGTTTTGTTTTGTTATATATATATATATATGTATATATGCATATGTATATATATATATATATATATATATATATATATATATATATATATATATATATATATGGCCTCTTGGACCATTATATCTGAACTGAGTACTGCTTTAGCATTAAAATATATCATATTAAAATAGCCTATATTATTATTATTATTATTACTGTCCCCTTACTGTAAAAACTGTAAATAAATCCTTATTCCGGACTATGTGACGTCGCCATTAATGTGTTTCTAGTTAAAATATTGATGGTTGTTTTTTTTTAATTTTAATTTTTGGTAGATTGGCTTATGGGGTGATTTTGAGTAATTAAGTTAATATTCTCATAAGTGGATGTAATATGTAGAGATGCCATCTAGGCCGTTTTTCTTCATTTTGTTTTTTTTAAAGTCTATAGTTTGCTTTACAAAACCATGAAAAAGCAGCTGTGACCAAGCTATCATGAGGTGAGTAGCATTGTAAGCATAATTAATAGCGATATACTTCAGCTTGTCTGTGTGTTTTTGTATGCAAGTGGGTCTGCTGCAGTCTGCTGACAGTCCAAAATGGCGGCGGTAGGACGAAACCATGGGCGAGTCTGTTGCTATGGGGCGTTCTATTGAGCTTCGCCTCTTGGTATCCATGCTCTTTGGCAGTACTACTTTGAGCTAAATGCTCACGTCAGCATGCTAACATGTTAACAAAGACAATGCTAACATGCTGTTAAGTGGATATAATGCTTACCATGTTCACCAACTTAATTTAGCATGTTAGTATGACAACACTTGCTAATTAGCACTAGTTTTGTAGTTTTGAAGGTATTTGGTCATAACCCAAAGTACTGGGAAATACTCAAACTATGACCTCATTATGGCACTGGAAAAGATGGCCAGGAGATCAAAGTTCCTACAAATGATCCTCTGGGGACCGTGAATGTTTGTGCCACATTTCACAGCAATCCATTTAACAAGAAATGTCAACCTCATAGTGGCGCTAGAGAAAAAGTCGGGGAATCAAGTTGCTATGATGTATAATTTGGAAGCTTTGGATGTCTGTACAAAATTGTATGCCAATCCATCAAACAAAATCTGACCTGCTGGTTAGATCATCACTAAAGTCAGTATTGTTCATCCTCTGGGGAGCATGAATACATAGCAGGAATGTCTGTACATATGTTTGCAATCCATCCAGTAGTTGCTGATTAATTTCAGTCTTGACATTTTCTTCTCATGCATTGCAGGGGGGAACCGTCTCATTAAAGACATTGAGATGATGATTGGAAAAAAGACCACGTGGTTCTGGCTGTGGTGGAAAGCTTGTTGGTTCTTCATTGTCCCCTGTATCCTTGTTGTGAGTACAACCTCTCCTTCATTCTGCTCCTTCATATTGCCCTGTAGAAATACCACCTTTAACAGACACTCTATACCTGTTTTTACATACAATTTCTAGTTCTCAAGACACCTTTTGTATTCTTTATACTGTTAAAGGCCTGCACTCTTCAGTCTGCACAGTGATATGGTGCAGTTGGGTAGAAATAAAATAGTTCCTACATTAAACTGCTCACAACAAGGTCTGTGGATTATCTTGATTACTGGAAAGAAACATTGCTATTGAGTTGTCGAGTGCCATCTAGTTATATTATATTTGAGAGAAGACAAAAAAATCCCTATGGCTGATATCTCCAACACCAAAACACTCTAGAGTGATAATAAGTACTACAGGTAAGAGGAAAAATATGTACTTTTGATTTTGGGGTGAACTGTCCCTTTAATGTTTGTCATGTCAGTTGAAGAAATATGAGATGTGAGCAGCGAATCAAAAGGTAATCCCCAAGATAATAAACATTAGATTGTAGCAATTTTAGCAAAACCAAAGGTGAGGTGGTTGAGAGAGCTCCTGCAGTAAATATTTCTGGTTATGTAGGCCCTGTATGCCTGTAATATGACTGTATGTTATGTTCCCTAAAAACTTTGCTGTTTAGGTGATCCTGGTCTGGTCTCTCATAGCCTTTGTGACCCCCGCCTATGGAAATATCCAGTACCCAGACTGGGGCTTGGCTCTGGGCTGGTGCATGACTGCATTCACCCTTATCTTGATCCCTGTTGTTGCTTTGTATAAGCTGATGAGAGCAGAGGGAAGCCTCTGGAAGGTGTGCACAATCTCTTGTATAATACAAGAAGAAATTAAAGTTATCTGAGATTTTCCATTACCCATTATCTCTAACTGTACCATACTCTCTATAGCGTCTGAAGTCGTTGTGTTCTCCCTCTGAGGAATGGCGTCCCTACCTGGACATCCATCGAGGAGAACGCTACTCTCAAAAGAAGCTGTAGCTGAAGAAGAGCAGTGTCAATGAATGATAATCAAATGTTAAGTGTAACTTCCAGATCACTGATAGATACATTGATATGTTACATATATGACACCCATTGCACTGTAGGTTAATTAAAATAAGGTGCTGATTGTGTCAGCTTTTCAGACGGAAACCCGCAGGACATGTTTCAAACAGCTCCTGGCTTTAATGTGCTTTGAATGTGCTAACACGTGTCTTCTCAACCAGTCAGCTTTGGTCAGAGATTAACACCCACATATAGTATTATTATGTGCTTATGAAAAAGCAGACAGACTGCCACATTAGTTTCCTCTGGAGCTACCTACTGAACGTTCTGCTGCTATCAGTGAATTTAAAAAAGTCACTTAACCACTGCTGTGATGGTAGGTTTGTGTTAAGCTTTCTCGTCTTTATTGTTCTATGGGTTTCAGGATTTCTAACCCATCATTAACATACCTAATGGCGTTCAACTTTATGACACCATATGTTTGTGGCTTGAAGATTGAAATGCATAAAATTCACCTATAGTGGGCCTGAATGGTGTTAAATTCTTTTTTTCAGTGTACCTTCACCAGATGTCTTTAATTGTGTTCAGATTACGTCTACGTGTCAGGCGGTAATCGTAGTTTGCTTTTAAACTCTTCTGCTCATAGTACAAATCCTACCATGTGTGTTGACAGGCTTCTATTGTCATCCTCTCAGGAGCTCCACCTGCTGGTCATCTACCACACACAAAAATCAAGAGACAGCCTGTATTCTTTTCATCAGTGTTGCAGTACTTGGGATCGGCCTTGGTCTTGAGACCAATTTTTGAAGGTCTCAGTCTTGTATGTGAATTGATACAAGACTGAGACCTTCATTTTTACTCAGTTTACTCGAGGACTCAGGATTTTAATTCAAGACTGGTCAAAACCACAGATGAAGGGTATTCACTAAATTGCCTTTGCAAAAATAGAGTGTTGAGTTAATTTCAGGCCCTTAGTATTTGTCTGTATTTGTTTGCTCATAGACAACAAGGGAACATTTCCACACATAAATTTAATTTCTGGAATGCCTTTTCATTATTTCATGAAGACATTTCTAATTGAACATTTATACAAACATATATACAGTATGGCGATAAAAGGGGTGAATGAAGTGGAATCTTCATTTGGTTTCTGTGGGTGATTTTTTGTTAATGTGGGTCTGTCAAATCAGTTTGAGGAGTGCCTATGGTTTGCCTTGGTTTAGGTGGTTTTGACTATAACACTGCTTTTCATCACAGATCTTATTTATAAAATTAAATGATAAAAGTTATATTCTTCTCATTCCACCGAGATTCTTATATTTTTTTTATCTGACCACCCTCTGATTTGGCTTTACCTTGCTTTGGCCTAATGGCAATTTAATGTATCCCTAAACATCAGATTTATTGGTGTTTTACCTGAAAGATCCATAACTGCTATATCGAAGGCAACTGGACATACTTGCATTTTTTGAAGTAGTTTCACCTCTCATCCGAGAAGCTTCTTCTCGGATGAGAGAACTCACTGGTGCGGACTCGCAGGCTTTAAACTCTGTGTGGGTGTGAACCCTTACAGAGTCATTGAGGTCACATGAGGTGTTGACCCACCTGGCTACCACGTGTGTCGTTAGGGTTAGATGGGACCAGGTGTGAATGGGTGTGAAGTCATCTGGGGAGGGATCCCAAGATTGCATTGTAGGTGGGTGATAACTTATAAGTCGTATCGTAGACCTCAATGACTGTTCACACCCACACAGAGTTTAAAGCCTGTGATTCCGCACCAGTCATTTAGAACTGAAGAAGCTTCTTGGATGAGAGGCGAAACGTCTTCAAGAAACACAAGCAAGTCCAGTTGCCTAAGATAAAGCACTTATGATTATCATGACCAGAGTTGGGTAAGGGTTACTTTAAAATTAATCAAAGTAATGAGTTACTTTACTGTGTTACTCCCTGAGTAAATTAACTCAAGCACTTTTAGAGTACTTTTGAGTATTCTACATTTCCTATTGGGCAATGGACCACAGGGCTCTAAGCCTACATTTTTTTGTCTCCAAAATTAAAGTTATGGACCACTTGCTCTTCACTGAGATCCAATTCTCCGGTCACAGCCGTCACTTTGACCAGTAGAAACACAGAACGATCTGCTGCCGTAGACAACTGTATGACAACAACACCCCGGCGTTTTTAATATTTCCTCTAGGGATGTTACCACACGTTATTTATTAATCCCTCTGTGTTTCTATATATTTATTTTTTAGCCGCTCCGGTTGTCTTCATAAAGTTAACAAATTGCGCCGTCATTTCAAACTGAGCACTTCCTGAATTTCTTTCAAATTAAAAGCCCCTTATAACCTCAGCTGAGAGAATCCCTCCATTTTCTAAATAGGCTTTTATTGTGAAACATTTGTAAGAACTTGTGGAAGATACAGTAGCTTGAATGTTTACGTACGGTACCTAAAATGAAGCTCCTGCCATCTGCTGATGCTTTTAGGTGACTACAACAACATTTCGGCTGGCACATGAACAGACACAGTGACTGAAATAATATTAAAAGTAATAAAAATAGGACAAGAATAACCCGATGACATGACACACATCGTGAAAGACGACCGGGGATAACTGGTGAGTACCAGCGTGTGTCATGTCTGTCGGCCAAGTCACGGCACGATTTTATAACTCCACAATCGTGTAATGTGACATAGTGATATTCAGAACGGGCAAAAAAGTCGTGTAGTGTGAACCAGGCATAATGCAAGTCCTGAGTCTGACCTGTCTTTCAGCGAGTCCACCTTTTTTTAGACTCCACCGTAGACAATGGCAGCATTTCTTCTACCACGTAGCTAGCCACAAGCTTTGTGGCTTTTTTTGGACTGATAGGTTTAACATTATCTTCGTTATTAGAACCAAAAGACAGCCGTTGCTGTTTCGGAGCTGAAGGACCAGCGTTCTAAAAGTAACGGAAGTAACTGATGTCTTGTAGAAAATGCACTCAAGTATTTGATTACTCAAACAGCAAACTAACGCGTTAGGTTACTCGTTACTGCAAAAAGTAATCAAAGTACTCTAACGCGTTACAAAGTAATGCGTTATACCCAATTCTGATCATGACCAGGATAACTGAGAGTCTTTACCGACATACACTTAAATATGTTATGAAAATCTGTCATCTGCATGTCTTTTGCATCATACAAGAAGAGAGAACACAAAGCCTAAAACTTAAAGACTGAAACAAAAGCATCATTAAAGAATGACAATTTAGCATATGTTCTGCAGAAAAGTTAAGTCTTCAAAAATACTGCAAGACCAGAATGTCCCTGCCTCTCCAGAGGTCCTTAATTTTTAATCATACTGGCACGTAAGAAAATAAAACAAGTTCATTTTGTCATTTCAAAAACAAATAATTTACCTTTCTTTGGAACCATCACTGCTGTCCCGTATGTTATGTTTGTATGAGTTGTAAACATGTTTCTGCTTTTTTGGAATATGTAGCAAAAAACTTAATAAAGCCATGGTGCTGTGCTGTTACTGTTTTGATAACTGTCTCTGTGATAATGACCTACAGTATCATGTTTACCTACTTTTAAACTGTAATTGTCTATTAACACATTACAAATTAATCAGATTTTTCTATTAAAATGTGAGGAAACAATGCCAACTCGGAAAGTAAATGGCTTTAAAAGTATATCTAATCTAAAATCCACCTAAATGCTGCTCAAAAACTGGATGGCTGGTGAAAAATGTGCTGTTATTTTACATTTACTTTGAATATGTGTTAACATATTGTATATGGTAAAACAGATGGTAGGAGCTGCATTATACATTATAACAATACTTTTCTTTGAAGTATTTTGTTTAAGTATTGGAGGGAAAACTTTATGAATGACCCTGGGTTTTCAAGTTTAATCATGTGACAACATCTCTGGATAAAAAATAAAGCCAGGACCGAAGTGCCAAAAATTGCAGTTCCTTGAGTAGCCACTTGGCTGACTCCAGAGGCAAATCATTTTCCATAGACCCTCGTGTTAAAATGCCCAATTTTTCAGCAGAAATAAACATGTTTACAACCTGGTAATAAAGACTGTTTAGGGGTGCCAAGTAACTCACCTGGTAGAGCAGGTGCCCCATGTACTGAGGCTATGTTCTCACCACAGCAGCTGGGGGTTTGCTGCATGTCGTCCCCTCTCCCACCCCCTTTCACGCTAGCACTGCCTTGTCAAATAAAGGCAAAAAGCCAAAAAAATAATCTTAAAACAAACGAAGTAACTAGCTAATTTCCCCCTTTATGACAACTGTATGGATGTGATTTGTTATATAACTCACCCTTTTAAACTGTATTGTAGCTTAAAGTTACGCATATTTAAGTGACAGACTGTTTAAGAGGCTTCACTACAGCCTGAGAATCAGATCCACTCCATGCTCCACCTCAGCTCCACCCTCTTATCCAAGTATGGCCACTTCTGGCTCCAAAAAAACAAGATGGTGATAGCCAAACTTCAAAGTGGGAGTCCACAAACCAGTGGGTGATGTTATGGTAGCTATGGTCATTCTCTTAAACAGTCCATGGTTTTAAAAGGTGGTGCTTTTTCCCTTTTATCTTCATTTCATTTTAATTTATCTTATTCAGTCAATGGAACCACATGGTAATAATAAGACAAGATATTGAGACGGAATTTATGTTGATAAATTATAGCAAACATGGTAAAGATTTTATCCAAAATAGTAGGTAGGTGCCTCTGTTTCAATAAGAGTATGTACTAATTGTAACCTCGGTTGTTGCCTTTGTCTTTCCGCTACTATATTCTTCAGCTTTTTATGCTAAACTGTCATGGTTTTATTTGCAGTGAGCATCACTATTTGTCTTTATTTTTGTGAGGAGTTAATAGATAAATAAGCATTCTTATTGCCCATGTTTGATGATCAAAGTTATTCTGCATTGAATAACTCCTTTTGCTTCAGTGATTTGTGGTTTTATGATTTTACAGATTGACGCAAGACACACACACAAAAAAAAAACATCAGAGATCTGAAGTTGCTTTAAATGTGATGTTCATTTAGGTTAGAACAATGAGAGATGTTACAGAGCTGTTCTTGAATGGGCCTTAGTTGGATGGTCATATGTTACATGATACTTGACCCCGCTCCTAACTTAAGAACAACCAGTAAAAAGTTCAACCATGGATGTTTAAGCCCAGTTGCAGCACTTGCAGCTGTCATCGAACACCAGGCCGACAGCACAGTGCTGGAGATAGGTTTGTCCTTGGTTGCACTCATAGAAGTGGTTCTTGTTGGTTAGGTCAGGGTAAACTCCGTTAGCCTTGCCAGCACAGAAGCCAGATCCTGGGTTGACAGGTGGGTTGACGGGTGGGTTGACATTATGGCCAGGCTGGGGCACAGGGTGCTGGGTTGGTGTAACTGGAGGCACGGGGTGAGGAGGCTTAGAGCAGGCTAAGGAGATAAATAAGGGAATTAAAAAGATGGAAACAGTCTTAATATGTTCATTACCAGAGTATACATACAGTAGGTGTTTCATGCTTACCTTTTCCAGTTCCCAGCGCTGCCTTGATGGTGCTGATCAGGGGGTATGGTCCCTGGCCGCAGAAAGTGCCACTGAAGTCATCCAGATCCAAACTCCACACCATGGCTCCACCGAAACCACTCTGCTTCAACCAGTCAAGCTGTAGAGTGGATGAGAGGTGAAAACAAGTGTTAAATACCCTTAAAACATAAAACGCTGTGACAGGAATTTAAATAATGAAATGTAACAAAATACCTTGATGGTGAAGCTCTTAACATTGTCATATCCAACCCAGGTTTGCGCATTGAAGGCATATGGCACCTCCTGGGGGGCGTCCCAAGCCTGAGTGGCTCCTTGCTTCAGGAAAGTACAGATCTGATGGAAAGGAAAGATTTAAGATTACTAATCCACACAGTACATGTGCATATCGTAGGTTGTCCTGTCTTAAAGTATATGCATGCATAGATTCAGAAGAAGAAGCACAAACCTCATAGTAGGCCCAGAAGCCAGCCTGACGAGTGAAAGGTCCAGCAGGTCCAGGTCCACTGGCGGGAGCTCCCACAGCTGTGTTAGAGGAAGCCAGGCGGAAAGTGTGACCATACGTGGGGAAACCAACCAGCAGCTTCTCAGCTGGGGCACCATTGCTCTTCCAGTAGTTCATGGCATAGTCCTACACATGAGAGCGTACAGGCCGGTGTGAGCACCTGTTTCACAACTAATTCTTATAAATTTACAGCAGGAGCCGTTACTCACCACATTGAAGTAGATCATGGATCCCTGGTCAGCGGGGCCCTTGTACAGAGGACTGTTCTCTCCGACGGTGTGCTCCCAAGGACCATTGAAGTCGTAGGTCATGACGTGGAAGTAGTCCAGCACACTGGTAAACAAGATGTGGGGATTAATGGTAGGAATGGCTGTCTTCTGTACAACAAATGTCAGGGTAATGTTTGTATATGCCTGCTCATGTACTTACGCTCCAATAGCAGCGATCTGGTATCCAGACTCAATGGTTCCCTTTCCAGCAGAGACAGCAGCAGTCAGCAACAGACGGGGACGGTTGGTCTTCTTGCCCTCCTCCACAAAGGCGCTCATCAGCTCCTACAGATGGGTGAGGAAAGAAAAACAGTTACAGCTGCTATATGTTTGAGATGGATTTTTAGAGTATAGCCTTTGTGTCAAAGGCATTTGATGACTATATTGTAAACTGATAACCTAATATAAAGTCTATGAAATCTCATGAGTAGAGTTCATGGCCAAATCCCTGAAAGGTTTAGATGGACTATATTTTCATTAGTGTATAAATTACCTGAAACTCAAAAATGTTATGTCTTTGTCGTCTTGCTCGTCGAATGAGACTTTAATATCTACATATGGAGTCGATCCTCTTCCACTGAGTCTGCCTTGTAGGCCAGAGCAGACCAACCAAACACTGTGTCTAGAAAGGGCCATTTGTGTTTTAAGTTTCAGATAGCTGCAATCTGTAACCTCACCGCTAGATGTCACTAAATCCTACACAAGACCTTTAAAAAATAAAATCCTATGTACAGTGTATAACCACAATATAATGCCAGCTTGTTTATTTTATCCTACAACCCGAATTCTCCTTTAGCCATAATTTGATTAGCAATATGACCGACCTGGACCAGGACGGTGTAACGCTCCTTATCGACAGGTGGGGAGCCACGAGAGCCAGGGTACTCCCAGTCGATATCCAGACCATCAAACTCATACTGACGCAGGAACTTGATCACACTGTTGATGAAAGTCTGACGATTGGCAGGAGAGGAAACCATAGTAGTGAACCTGGAGACAGGAAGACAGTCAGAGTGCTTCTACCTGTGCTGCTCTCGGTGAGAGTATTGATCTTCATTTCATTATGACTTACTTAGCAGTACCAAAGTTCCATCCACCAATGGCCAGCAGAGTCTTCAGGTTGCCGTTGCTGCAAGAAGCAAAAACAATCTCTTTAATCTCTTTAACAATCTCTCTTCACTCACACTTAATCTGTGTGCAGACTTATGCCTATTAATGAGTGTCACACTATTATTTTGAGCATTTGTGTGTACTAACTCATTCTTCAGGGCCTGGAACTGTGCGTAGAGTTTCTCATCGTCCCACTCATAGGTCTTGATCATGTTGCCGTCCATTCCAGCAAAGGCATAGATGAGGTGGTCACAGAGACATGGGTCAATGTTGGTGGGGAAATACTTACCTGCTCCAGGACGGTACTGTCCCCAGTTAGTGAAATAACAGGAGAGGATGTAGGATGATCCTGCAACATATGAAACAATTGCTCTTACATTATGTTACCAACTGAAATGCGTCTGAACAAATCACACTGACTGAATTAATGATATAATTACCTAGCTGCACGTGCAGCAGGAGAGCCAGTCCTGCAGAGAGAGGAGACAGAATTAAAGAGGGTGAGGAGGAAGAGGCTCAGTTGTTAATAATAATCTGCATTATGCATGAGATGAAATTAAGTTAAAATGTGTAGTAACAAAGTTTGAAAAGTTTCTATGAGCAAGGAGCTCGCTTACCGACGCAGATGAGTAGCTTGCCCATGTTGCTTCTGTACAACAAACTGAGGACTGAGGGACTCTTATATACTCCTGGGTTATTTCCCTTATCTATATTAACTGTATGAATGTGTCTGATGTGGTTTGCTTTTTCAGCAAAACTCAAAAGTCAAACTCATTCAATTGTTTGGTCAAGACTAGTGTCGCATTGGATTTACGAAAAGCACTGATAACCTTCAAGTGCCTTTTGATAATGACATGATCCGATTATGTTAGATATTTTCAAGGTGATTGTTGTTGGCGAAACAGTGCAGGACACTCCAACAGCATTTTTAAGTTTATAACTTTCCTCATTTTTGTTTCAGTATTGTAAGTATATTACTGGTTTATGAATATTTGTAATATTATATAAGTAACCCAAATATTTCTTAGACAGCAAAATGTGTCTCAGCATTTTCCATTTACATACATTATGTGATACTGATGTTTACTCAGTTGTCCTTAAGTTCTCTGCTGCATGCTTTATCATCTTTAGTAGTTTTAATATCAGCTATCACTGTTAGTCGGTCACCTGAAATGAACTGTGCTGTTCGTCATATTACAATGGAAAGAGGCTTTTTGTCCTTTCCCGTCCTTGAAGCAGTTTGGTGATTGTAATGCAATGTGGATTGTTAAATAAGTCTCCCACTTGCCTTGCCACCTCTATAAATCTTTTTGAACAGACACTGACTGATAATGTTTTATACTCAAAGCTGCAAAGTCTAACGCCGGAAGACATCTCGGTGCACTGCCATGCTTAATATCTCCTCGTCCATGGTGTTCACGGGGTGAAATGACGTCTGAAAACCTCTGACCTGTTGACTTCAGGCCTGCCTCTGCCCATTATGTAGTTTTTAAGGTGTAGTGCAGGGAAATATGATCCGCCGTGAACACTATGTACTTTATTTTGAAAATTAACCGGATGTTTTATTGTGTTTCTGTGCATGACTTCCTGCCCCGCACGATCTGCTCTGTGCTGAATTGCTGCGTTGTGCTCCGGCGTCCGGCAAAAATAGAAGTCCTGCGTATCTGTTGCGGAGGGCTCCGGAGTGCCGGAACTGAGACGGAGCCAGAACGCAGCACAGCCGCAGCTGGTGGAAACACACACATGGACTAGTATGGAATCCTATCGGCTCCGCTGCCGTGCCGGAGCGCAGACACAACCAACATGCATCTGGTGGAAATTGGCCTTAAGGGCTGCGGTGAACCTGCGCCTACTTAGGGCAACAAAAGCATTTGTCATGGGTGCGTCAGTACAATAGACAAACATTTTTTGCACTTTGAGCACCCTTTTTTGTGCATGGATGTCTTGAATACACATGACTATTTTTGCATTGATCTCAGCTTGTAGACCTTGTGGCTTTCTAGCCCAGTTACATTTGTGTGTGGGTATCTCTTCTACTGTCCTTTCTTATACTCAAAGCTGCCATTTATGTTCCAGTAGTAATCATAACACGCAGTATATGAAAGACAGTTTTAGTTTATTCATTATAGGTGACACATTTGATTTGGAGAGGTTGATATATTTAAAACCCAAATTTACTCTATGAAAAGTTAAAAATCTATCTGCTACTAGCAATATTACTAAGTTATCTAGATGCAAACAGTTACATTTTGAAAGGTTTAATTACATCATGAACACAGAAAATGTGCTTTATGAATAAAGTTAATGAGACAAGAGGTATGTATTTCAAAATGATGGTGATGAATAGGTACACAAAAAAGAATCAGTCATCTGCATAAGGCAAAACATAATATGGTTTTTGTATATTTGAATGTGTAGAGGTCAATGATATGAGACTGGGTGGAGGTTCAAAAGCCAAGATAAACAGTGAGGAGCTCTTAGGGCACTCCGACCATCACATTTTTAGTAACTATTGAATAAATAGATTTTAAATGATGATTACAAAAGGACATCTGCATGTACTTGTCCCAAATATTCAGTTGTCTGACATTTTAAGTCCCATTCACATAGATGCAGTAGTATCAGTACTGTACATAGTAGTTAATACAGATTATTAGCTCCACTTTGTTTTCCATTGCCCTTTTTACTGTGCAATACTTTGTTTATTGAGTGTAAATATTCATGATGCACAAAGATGAGTTGTCTGTTCACCTATGAAGCATTTAGGCAATGTTGGCAAGGTCCAGTAGCACCCTGTTTCACCTGCATGATTACATCACACCTGAAAGCTGCTTAATGCAACTACAGTCTTTTAGTGGTGACCGCTAGTTGCACCATAATTACAGGTTTATCGTAATGGAAACATTGCAATCTAATGGAAACATGCTCTCTTAGTGTGGATGGGGAGAGTGTTACTCATGTATTACAAATGAGAATGAGTGTTACTCATTTGTATAATCTGAGATCCAAGGAACAGAAGGCTGTTTGGTGTGAAATGGATTATATATTTATAAAACCTACTTACATAGGTTAGGGTTAGGAAAATAAAAATGGTTGGGTGTTGTTGTAACGTACTTAGCGTAATGTTAGGCAGGTTAGGTTTCGGAGGGTAAAGTTATGTAGGTTAGGTTTACAAAAAGACACACTGTGACGATGCACTTAAAAATAACACAAACACTGGTGTCCTGGAGGAAGGTCCTGTGTTTGTCTGACCCTTCCACCACTCCTACCTACCTATTCACATGGACTTTCTGTCCTTATACCACTTCCTTCTTTACTCCTGTTCGTGCATTGGCCACATGATCGCAGCCTTCTCAGTTACATGGGTTCTGTATGAATTCTGGTGCATTACTTTTCGAAGGTATACGTACAAAGAGTGCATGACAACAGCTTGATGTATTTATAGATTCTGGCTGCCTGATTTTAACTAACCAATAAAAATGCAAAGAAAGTTGAATCATTACTATTTTTGTATTGTGATAGACAGTGATTGTGTATCTCTAAACTTATTAGGTACTGTGTCCACCAAAGTGTTTTTTCTCAGCTGAAAACGCCCAGGTGGGAGTATTTGAGAGCGCTTTGGGGGCGCCGCGTTTTTTCAGCTGAGATGCTTTGGTTGCATCTGGTTTCTATGATATGGAATGTCAGCAGAAATAAGCATGTCGGTACAAGGTAGAGTTCTTTGGTTGAGGGGAAGGCTAAAGCATGCAGGGTGAGAGGACGGACCCGCCGGTCTGTGTGGGTTCAAGAGAGGAAAGATAATATAACAGAGCAATGCTTTCTGCTTTAAGCTAAATGCTAATGTCAGCATGCTAACATGCTCACAATGACAGTGCTGACATGCTGATGTTAGGCAGTTTTAATGTTTACCATGTTCACCATCTAGAGTTAATTTCGTTGACGAAAACTATAATGAAATTTTTTGTTAACAACCTTTTTTTCCATGACAAAAATCAGACGATTACAAGCTAAAAGTAGATCTTGATAATAAAAACTACAATGAAATCAATGCTTCATTTTTGTTGCTGAGAAGAGACGTGATGAAAATGTTTGTGACAGTCTGCGCTAGGATGTTTCGCTAGCCAGCAAAACACTCACACTGCAGCAACATCAGCCATTGGTGCGAGTTGTGAGCTGTGATTCAGCAGTAAATAATCAGCTGTGTGTGTCTGAATGTGGATGGTGGAGCTGCTGAATGGATTTGTAGAGTTTGTTAGTTGCAGTGGAGGCTGTTAGCAGCTCCACCTGTTAGCCGCTGAATGGCAGTGGAGCAAGCAACCGCCAACTGCCAGTCTTCACAGCTGATCCCTGCAGGACTCCACTCAGTCCGGACTGGAGAAGGTTTATGGGTTGATGCTGTTTGACAGGCAGGTAGGAGGCTCAGTTATCTGTGAATGTAGCTGTGATGTAAGTAAACAGTCTGATCTCAGATCAGTTTTCTCTGACAGAGCTGAAAGTTGAGTTTTAATCACCAACTCTGAGAGACATGCGTTTAAACCTCCAGACTAATGTGCTGCAGATTATGAAAGCATTCAGGCTTTAATTAAGTTATTTTCCTGCTTGTTAACAGTGAGATCAGTCAGAGTTTACAATGAATGTGAGTACAAATCGTAGTTGTCTCAGAGTAGTTATTTGTGGTGTCAAAGTCATTAAGTGTGTGCTCGTAAATCACCCCTTAAACCTGTCAAACACTGCTGGAGAAATGACTGTTTGTAATTGTGTAGAAATCATTTGTAGTTGTAGAAAAATTTGTCTAAATGAAATTTTTATACATCTGTCACCTGAATAAGATTAAAACAACCCATATAGACTATTGACTAAAAGTAATGACTAAAATGTTGTGAATTTGTGTCAACTAAAACTAGACTAAAACTGTGAAGGATAAATCTTTTGCCTGAAGTGACTGAAGCATTTTTGTGTCAAGACTACGACTGAATCTAAAAAAGCTCTAAAATTAACACTGCCACCATCTTAGTTTTGTGTGTTATTGTGTTAACATTTAAGAGTACAGCTGAGGCTGATGGAAATGTCACATTGTTTGGCAGGTACTGGTGGCACTACTTTAGATGAAAAGTTGGGGGTGTCATTAGGATTCATTCATTCAACATTTTGGCCAATTCATCTCTTATTCGAAGACGTGTCACTTTAGCCAAAAACATCGAGTCAATGGTGACACTTGAAAGAAAACAACTGGATAATTTCACTGAATAAATGATCTGCTGGCTCAATGGATAACCAACATTGTTAGGATTAATCTTCTGGACACCTTTGATATTGGTCCTAAATTTCAACTGTTGAGTTATTTCAGTGTGGACCAACAAGCAACATCATTCCACACCCACAATGCTGAGATTACAAAAAAATAATCTGTATCTGTTTTGTGAATTGGTAAACTACAGGTTTCCACACAATGCTGTGAGATAAATGCCATTTCCAGTAAACACATAATCACCTCTGAGCACCTCAGCCGGTCCTTGCTTTCAATTACTTTTCACCTTGAATATAATTTGAGTGTCAGCAGTAAATTATTATCCCTGCTAACAACAGCTCAGCACCAAACTACTTGATAAACACAGTGTGAAAAATACCCACTTATTGCATGA